CACATAGAATTTTCTGGGGATTTTCTCGTAGCGACATGCTCTGGTCGCTACAGTGGTTGCTACAGACTCTCCGCTCTCTTCCTAGCGACATCCTCTGGTCACTACAGTTCTGGTCGCTACAGGGTTGATATGCCTCGAGTAGATAGATCATAACTTCTTCAATACAGCTCCAAATGACTTGAAACCACTTCCATTAGAACGATAACTCAATTTACCATGTCATCCCAAAATATGAGCTTCAAAATATATATTTAAGGTCTCCATCCATGTTCATCTTTAACCCTCTTTTGGATCACAATGCTCCCAAACACCTCCATTCACTCCATGGCACACTCCAAAACCTTAGAAGGACATATGAATGCAATATGGACCTAAAGATGTCTAAACCTTAATCTATATGATGATTTATGTACAAAATTAAATGTTAAAACTATGCAAATATGCCTCATATCACTCAGACAATGCTGGTGAATACATAGCACTGAGATCATACCTACGTGAACATAAAATCTAAAATCTCATATCGCCTCCACACACCCCATAACACAATGGGCTCGCAGAGAGAAAGTACCGACACATTGTTGAAACCGGCCTGACTCTTCTGTCCCACGCCTCTGTTCCTAAGGAGTTCTGGCCCTTTGCATTTGCATCTGTTGTGTTTCTCATCAACCGGCAACCTACACCAACACTAACTCTTCAATCTCATATTACCTCTCTTTCAAGCCACTCCAAAATAATCTCGCCTTAGGGTCTTTGGATGCCTTTGTTTCCCTTGGTTGCGACCATATGTAGCAAACAAATAAGATGACCACTCAAAGCCGTGTGCGTTTCTTGGTTACTCGGCGACTCAGAGCACTTATTTGTGTCTCCATATCGTCACTGGAAGAGTGTCTACATCGAGATATGTCCAATTTGTTGAGACCATGTTTCCGTTTGCTACAAAAATCTCTGGGAAACAAGATGACAAAAATAAAGATGATGTTTGCTTGCCTACACCACCGATAACGATTCCGGTTTGTGCTCGTCAGAAGTCAATAAGGTCTCCGTCTCCGGCTTCCCCATGCTCCGTCCCTTACCCGGTTTCATCGTCTCCTCCTCCACCGATCCAACCAACAAATAATACTCAGGTATTCTCTTCTCTACCTAGTGTCTATATTCTTCTTTTCAACCTATTTCTCAGCCCACTGCCCCACTTCAAAATGGGCCGCAACCTACCACCCAGCATCCAAGTTTTATTCAGCCCAACACCTCCCAAAATCAAACCCAAAACCTCACACAACCAAAGTTACCAATTCAACCAAGCGCACATAGTGAGCCACACCCAACAACCATTATTCAAACTCAATCTGTCTCTTTTCCTAGATCCCACACCGATTCCGGCAATAACAACAACCCATCAAACCACCACAAAACCTGCCTCGAATGCAAACCAAAAGTAAAAACAAAATCACCAAACCCAAAACCAAATTCAGCCTGCATGTACCACAAACCCTTCTTTTAAACCCGAGCCTAAAACCCTCAAACAAGCACTGTAGGATGAATGGTGGCACAATGCAATGTCAGTCAAATACAATTCTCAAATCGAGCATCAGACTTGGGAATTGGTTCTGCCAGATCCCACACAGAACCTTGTAAGTTGTTGATGGATTTACTCGAACAATTTCTTACCAAATGGTGAAGTGGAACCCCAAAAGCAAGATTTATAGCTCGTGGTCATACTCAACATTATGGTGTAGATTATCTCGAGACATTCAGCCCTGTAATTAAGACCACAACTATCCGATTGGTGTTGGACATCATGGTCAACAAAAGGTGGAACTCAAGAGGTTGGATGTTAACAATGCGTTTTTGCAGAGCGAACTCAAGGAGGAAGTCTACATGACTCAGCTACCAGGTTATGTGGACACGTATCAAACTGACCATGTATGTAGACTGAAGAAGCCGATATATGGGTTGAAACATACTCCCAGAGCCTGGTACATATCACTGAAACAACATCTTATTTCCATGGGGTTTCAGAATTCAGTCTTTGTTACATCTCTGTTTGTTCATATCAGAGACAACAATCTTACTTATGTATTGGTGTTTGTAGATGATATTATTGTCACATGAAGCTGTTTATGGTTCAAGGAGTACTACAATCTCTGGCTCATCATTTCTCTATTAAAGATCCAGTTGATTTTCATTATTTCCTTGGTATAGAAGTTTCTCGGTCTCCTACAGGCTTACATCTGATGCAAAAGAAGTATATGTTGGATTTTCTGAGAAACAACAATATGATCGACGCTAAACCAGTATCAACTCTCCTGCAAATGTCTCCAAAACTTACTTTTCATGGTGGTGATCCTCTATCCAATGCTGCTCAATATCGCTCTACAATGGGCAGTCTCCAATACGTGTCGTTTAAAAGACCAGACATCTCCTATGCTGTCAATCGTTTATCGCAGTTTATCCATCGACCAACCACAGAACATTGGCAAGCTGTTAAGAGGCTCTTAATCTACTTGGCTGGTACACCTACGCATGGCATTCAGATGAAGAATGGAACACCACTTACACTTTACACCTTCACTGATAAAGATTGGGTAGGTGACACTAATGACTATATCTCCACTCATGCGTATGTTATTTATCTTGGATCCACTCCCATCTCCTGGTCGTCAAAGAAACATAACAGTGTTGCGCGCTCCTCGACAGAGGCAGAATACAGGGCCGTAGCGAATACTGCATCAGAGGTTTGGTGGTTCTGTTCACCCCTACTGAACTTGGATTTTGCCTACCTACAGCACCAGTTATTTATTGTGATAATGTTGGTGCCACCTATTTATGTGCTAATCCCATATTCCACTCTCGTATGAAGCATTTGGCCATTGACTATCATTTCATTCACAACCTCATTCAAGCTAGTATGATCCGAGTTTCCCACATCTCAACAAAGGACCAGCTTGCTGACTCACTAACGAAGCCTCTTTCCCGCTAGCAGTTCTTTCAAGAAACATCCAAGATTGAAGTTACAAGAGTATCTCCATCTTGAGGGGGCATATCAAGTATATATGGAAAGGCTTCTATGTAATTACATTTAAACTAGTCCTATGATGTCTCATGTCTGTATATATAAGTGTATCTCTACATTCTGATAAGATCATCCTTCATACTTTATAGGAAATGCTCTCTCCCTGACAAGTCTGGCCGGTCGTCTAATGCTCATTGGCACTCAATCTATGATAACCCTCCCCTTCACCTCTGCCTTTTCTCCTATACCTAATTCTCTTATACTTAAGCGATCCACAAACAATGAGCTGAAAACAATGAGCTGAAAATTATGTATCCATTACATATGTAGCAGTTTTCAAGCATGTTACTAGCCCACATGCACTTATTTATTTGGTTAAGCTTTCAAGATAGCCTTTATGATGTTGGGTTAGGTTAATTTTCTCAAGATTCTGGTAGGTTCACTGGATCTCATTCATATAATGTCATTTTCCTCTTGTACGAAGATTGTATCTGTGGGTTCATTGAGCTGTACACTTTCATTATCCTCTTCTAATGAGATTATTTCACCACCATCCCTTCTTTATATGAAAAGACATGTCCTTTTAGACTCATTACCAAATGTTGATTTTAACTGTATCACAGGTGTGTTAAAAAAAAAAAACTGTATCACAGGTATTGTCATCTTGTGTAGTGGTCTGTACTAGGCCAGAAGATGCAATCGAGATTACCATGGGTTATTTTGTAGGTGAGGGATGCCCTTTAACGTCCCATAATATGATAAATTTCTGTTGTTCAACTCTATTGTGAAGCTTTATCGATGCATTAATGCTCTGTCTTGAGTTCGTTGTAATCTTATTACTAGGTGATAACCCGCGCTCTGCGCATGATGAGTGAATTAATAAAATTATAATTTAATATCTATAGATGCATTTGTTTATATAATGTAATCTTATATGTTTTTTTAAAAAAAATATTGTGTAATTAGATAGGTGCATTGAAGTCTATTATATGAAACATAAATTTTTATAAAATTAAGAAAACATTTCCTTAAATTTATTATGAATATAGAAAAAAACGAAACAAAGGTTTGAATAATTATTTAATTCATAATAAAATTATAATGATAATAATTAAAGCAAGGCCTCAAACATTTTCCGTAATTCTCCTCAAAATTAAATGCTCCATATTCTCCTTGTCAATTTTATTCATAAACTTTCCTACTAAATGGTCAGATAATATAATTTGCCAGAATTAAACACATTAATTGAATCAATAAGTCAATGATTTTGAATAAATCAACAAATTTAATATGATGAATTGATTCCCTCAGTTACACCAGAATTTTGAAATATAAGGAAAGATTATAATGTTGATTGATTCTAATGGTTATTGATTCAAAACATTAACAAACAAAAAAAAAATTTGTTTTACAAAATGTTTTTGTATATGCCAATATTGCGAGGACCCAAAACGGATGAATTGAGTTATGAAAGTCTGAAATATTTTTTTAATAAACTGATAAAATTATTATAAAAAGTATAATAAATATATAAAAATCTAAAATAATTCCTGGAAATCAAATAATTTGTATAGGGAACAAAACAATCTAACAATAAGTAAAAGGCGAATACGAGCATCGTTTAGCCTGTCCACATAGGATATTTTATTCCACCAATCAGAGCACATTAATTATACACGTCACCTCCAGTTTACACATCTGCGGTTTGCAGATGGAAATCTAGGGTTTTTTTACACACCGAAAGAGTAAGTTAACCATTGATTCATTAGCCTCACTTCTTCTTCTCTGTTTCCTAATCTCACGATTTGTATCATTCCAGGTAATCAAACCTCTTCTCCTCTTTACTCTCATATTTAATGGCTTTCGTTTCAACTCCGTCAGAGTCTCTTTCTTATAAATCTATCATTCAGTTTTTGGGTTCAACAAAAATCAGAATCCAAAGAATCCTCTCAACACCCTCAAGAACACGAAATGGCGATGAAACCCGATGGAAAATCTCCACCGACCAAACTTACCGGCAAACCCTCTGCCTCCTCCACCGACGCTGTCTCCGGTGATCTCATGCCGAAGAAACGAAATGGTAAGGCGGTTCTCCACTCCGAGTCCTCCCCAAAAGCCGATGCAGTGGTGTTCTTCAGAGATGTCAAGTTCGGACCACAGGAAGGCGAGTTAAGGTTTCGTCTTATCAATTTTTGGGAGGCTCGAAACCCAAAATCGAAGATACTAATTGGTCTCGAGATGCTCCTCATTGACGAACAGGTCTATTCCCGATATCTCTGACTCTTCTTCTCTCAGTTTTGTTCGGTCGATATTCCTTTTTGTTGTGTTTAATTATTTGGTTTCCAGAAAAAAATGGTGTTGTGTTTATTTCGTTTCCAAAAAAAATTGGTGTGTAATTGATTCGTTGATCTGTTGTTGTTCTTTTGCCGTCTAATTTGGACGACAACAACATTATCATTTTTTTAAATGGACATGAACATCCATTTTTGGAGTATGGAAAGAACGATCCTTTTTGTTTCCCTGGTTTATTTAGTTTCTGCAAATATATGGACTGAAATTAAGTCATTGCTATGTCCTTATCAACAGGGTACTGTCATCCCACTAGGAAGGATTCAAACCTATCTGCCTCACATGATTCCCGGTTCCATATACCGCCTCAACAAGTTCTACGGATCTAAGAGCAAGGTTGTGTTTCGGGTTGCTGATCCAAGCGTCACCATCACTTTCTCATGGAATTCTGTTCTCTCTGTTATAGTGGATAGTGCTGTTGGGTTTCCTGAAGACCGGTTCCGGCTCCATGGAATCACTGAGTTTGAAGCAGCCTGTGACTTGAGAGGGGATCTTTATGGTGAGCTTTCACAATATTTTCGCTTTGACAGTGGTTGTCTTTGATAATGATATGTTTGAATCTTTGTTGTTTATTCTGATTCATGGTTCACGTTTGTTTAAAAAATATAAGAGTAAGTTGTATTTTTTTATTTTTGCAGATTAAATTGGTCACATTAAATTGGTGAATGACCAGACCCTGAGTGAGAGTTTTGTGCTTGATGAAGCCGAGGTAGCTTCCACTCGGCGAATCCTGCTTCATGTTCAGACTTATGAGTAAGTTATTCACAACGTTTTGATTTGTACATACAAGTTCACTAAATACTTGATTTACGTTTGATGTAGTGATCCTCTGGTTAAGCTCTACCTATGGGACAAGGCTGCTACAGACTTCTGTGAAAAATTTAAACAGAATGGAAAGACTCCAAGTGTTATTCTGGTGACGACTCTTGACCCTAAACCCTTTGGAGGTTGGTATAACCTAAATTTTGTTTATGGTTTACACAAATTATTATTATGTGTGAAGCACATACTTTAGTTAGAATAGCTGTTCAGTAATTTGTTAATTTTTTTATGTAATAGTTAATTTGGGTTCACTATGATATCCTTTGCTATGTTACAGGCCCCTTATGTCTCTCTTCACTGGCATCTTCACGTGTGTTTTTGGACTGTGATGTCCAACCAACGAGATATTATCTGACTTGGTATGTATTCCTCTCTGTTATAAAGATTTGGAAACTCGGCCTTATTTATTTTATGTGTGCCATTTCTTTAGGTTGGGATCAAACTCAGAAGTTGCTAATAGGGTTATTCCGGATATTGTTACAAAGGCTGAGACAACTACTATAGGGGCACTATTCTCCTACATGAGGCAGGAATGAGCAAAGGTAGAATCACTCATTCCTTTAACTTAATCATTTGATAGACATTTCTTATTTATAATGTTTTAATATTACCATACTCCAGGTTGCTTGGTTTGAGTGCACAGCCATTGATGATGTTGTCCATGGTTCTCCATGGTATTATATTGCCTGCCGTGGATGCAGGACTAAGGCAACGAAAGGCCATAACGGAAGTAGCTGGTGTTCCAGAGTCAGAGTTATATCTTAAGTCCCACTAGCACCTACATCATGTTTATTTAATGTGCTTCCATGACATACCTCACGAAGATATCTGTGTATGACACCAATGACCATGCCACATTTGTGCTTCTTGGTGATGCTGGGTTTGAGTTGCTTGGGAAGCAAGCATCGGAGTTGGTAGAGAGTTACTTTGAGGTAATTACAAACTCTCCATCATACATACCTGAATGAATGTATTCTAAAAAGTCTCTAAATTTATGTTAGGCCAATGCTAGCGTGGGAGATGATCACGTAGTCCCGGTGCCTCAGGCTCTTACTGATACAATTGGCCAAACTCACAAGTTTATTATCAAGGTATCGGATTACAATTTGACCGGGAAGAGCAAGGCTTTAACTGTGACTAAGGTCCTCCGTCCTCAGACTCCAGAACTTGAAATCAACGTTGAAGAGAACCTGGTTGTTCCTTCGGCCGATGAAGTTTTGCAGGTGGCTAATCCTGAGGTTGGTCCTTCTATTGGATATGAGGAATCTCCAGATGAGAGGGTGAAAAGGAGTTGTGATATGGTTGAGACAGAGGAAGCCAAGCGTCCCAGATGTGGCTGACACTTTTAAGTGCTGTTTTGATTTATTAAAAGACTACGTTTTGTTCCTTTAATTTTCCCAGACTTTCTGTTTGCATCATTTGAGTTATCTTGCTTACAAACTTTGTTGGTTTCACTTATGGTGACGAATTTCCTTCTTCATCTTTTATGTTTGCTCATTTTAATGTTATACGTAGATCTTAAAACCCATAGCTTCAAGTTTATTTACTTATGCATCTTAAAATAGACAAATAGAGAACGGCCTGATTAAACATCTATATGTGGTAGCAATCATCAGAGCTCTTACTCACTCCCACCAGGAGATATAAAGGAAAGAATAGATACATTAATGGCATCCATCTGACAAAGATGGGCTGGAATTCCTTGGGATTTTGCCTACATTCTGTCCCTCTCTCTTTTTAGCTATAAGGAAGTAAACGTTGCGAGACCCCAAACTCATACGTTTACATGTTATTTAAAAAAAAAACACCACTAAACAATAACTTAACAATATCAGATTTTTCCTTCAATACAAAATCATTATACATTCCATAATTACAAAAAAAATCTCCCAAAGAAAGGAAAGAAGTATAATTCACTGCACCACCATTTACAAACTTCCTATTTTCAAAGGGAAAAACCTAAAACACAACACAACTTTCCAAAAAACAGCATCTCCCTCTCGATAGCCGCAAGCGATAATTCTAGCATCTTCGCACGCCTGTTTTCCACAAGCTGTGTAAGTTCAAGCATAATGGATCAGCTACACTGCGACCAACCCGTACAATCTCCAGGTAATCTATAGTTTTCCTCGATCTAAGATCGGTCTAAATACTACACTTATGCTTGTGATAGAGCGGTAAACGCCATACTCTACGAATCAGAAAAATTAGTAGGACTATAAGAAGTTAAATTTTTAGGGTAAAACTAACCGTAAATTATCGCTAAGTTCATAGACATACATTCCATCTAAATAAATATTAGTTTTTATCTATACTATCGCTTAACAAACACCAAGTTCATATCAATACATGGTATGTAAAAAAAAATTAATAGTTTTCATTAAACGTATGATTTGTGGCTTAGGTTGACGACAAATAAAGTTTACAATCAAAAAGTTCCTTTGTCGTTTGTTTAATAGAAAAACAGTTTCTTTACGTTTCTCGAAACGTTGATATATCTATTCTATTAAAACAGCAGCATGACCAATTGATATATGTTGTGTCCAACAACTATTTTTAATATCAATATTACAACTATTGATAACTGTATTTACTTTAACTTGAAAACTAACCACGTTCTCTTTATATAAAGTTCTATAAGGAAACCAGTTATGATTCTTCCTGCAAAAGTCAGTTCGATCAGTATTATTAACACTCAATTTTTCATGATTTTAACCGAGTTGCAGAAATTCAGCAAAAAAACAATCATGTTCTCTCAGAAATCATTCATGCAATTATTTGTAAACTATGAGTCTAGGTTTCATATTGGTAAGAAATTGTGCTTCTGTTCAACTGCAATGGTTGGATTATTGATTAATCTATTTACATATATCGTTCAAAAACATTGAGTGCTAGGCAGTGAAATCAAGTTTATCAAAATCATTCAAGTTTTTGTGTGTTTTAAGACTGGGTGATAAATAATAAATCTTCAATTTTGATGCATAAATGAAAAGGAAACATAAGAAAATTAGATCAATTACGTTTGCGGCGACGGCGATGGAAAAAAATTGCAGAAAGATAGAAACCTTGATAAATGGAGAAGATAAAGTATTTACATATTTGCCATTAGTGAGAAACAAAGAAATAAAAATCCAAAAATTTAGATCTTGCTGCGAAGCCATATAATCTTTGATAATAGCCGTTCACTGACTTTTGCATCGAAATATGCATATATATTTTGTAACAGAATATATTAAAATTAATTTTTCAAACATTTTTTTTAATCAAAAAAAAATTGTTGTTTTCGTTGCGGGTTGGGTTTGATATTAGTTTTTTGATATAACATTTTAAAAACCATTTGATTATATAGGCTAATAGATTATGCGACTTTAATTTTTGGGTTGGTTTCGAGTCAATTCTATTTATACGAGTATTTTTGACTAACTATATTAAGTAACTAATAAAAAATATAATATGTTGAATAAAATTGAAAAATAATGTTTAAAATGTGTAGGACATAAATGTATAGTTATGCAACTTAGCATATTTAATATAGTTATCAAAAATTTATATTAAGTTAAATTATGATTACAAAAAAAAACACAAATACTTTTTTTTCTCACAGCTTTACAATAAACATAAACACCAAAATTAAATTTCTCAAAAAAAAATTAAAACAAAAGTATACATACCCTTTCAATGCATAATTTGTTTAGAGCCATTTTAAAATTATGATAACCTTTGTACATAAAGTTCTACAAATTCTAAAAAATATAATATGTTGCAAACTTTGGAATAAAATTAACAATAATGCCTAAAATGTATAGGACATAAATGTATAGTTATGCAACTTAGCATATTTAATATAGTTATCAAAAATTTATATCAAATTGAATTATGATTACAATAAAACACAAATACTTTTTTCTAACAGCTTTACAAAAAACATAACACCAAAATTAAATTTCTCAAAAAAATTAAAACAAAAGTATACATGCCCTTTCAATGCATAATTTGTTTAGAGCCATTTTAAAATCATAATTTATTTAGAGCCATTTTAAAATCATGATAACCTTTGTACCCCATTATCACGGCTAGCAATCGGGGGCCACTACCCTGATAATTATACTAATATATCTTAATTAATCAAATATTAAACAACAATTAAATAAAGATGTGAATATGTAGGGGACAACTAAACATATGTTACTTTTGTTCTTACAATTTGTTTCCAAATAATCTGGACCATATAAAATATATTTTCGGGATCTAACAACCATTTAACTTGCCTACTAATCGGAAGAACTTTTTGTAAGTTAAATAACTATGTGAATAGTAAGAACATTTAAAATGGCTAAAAATATATAATAAGGTAAATTAATTTAATATCTATTAAAATAAATCACTAAAATAAAATCAAGTTAATTAACAACCAATTAAAATGCGCGTCTGGTGTTTCAAATTCTTAAAAATAGTTCCATTAATATAAAAAATGAAATCATAAACACTAAATTTAATAAATTGCAGAATTTTTTTTTAAAACACACAAAAATGAATTTTATCAATACAGAGCGGGTAAAAAATATGAAATATTTTATTTAAATTAAAATATTAAAAATAAAATCAGTATGAAATAAATTTAACGACAGGTTAAATAAACAAAACCATAATACGGATCAGACTTATTTGGAGTCTTCAAAAATTTAGTTATATTTAAAATAACAAAAATAAGTCATATGATTTATAAATTACTTTCAAATATATTTATTTAATTATATAACAATAACTAATTTATACACTGGATTCATATTAATTAACTTTCATTGTAAACTCCTAAGTGACCGAGATCACTTTTGAAATAACTAAAATTTCCTAATGACTTTAATTCCATAACTTATGTTTCAAATTGAGAAAAAAAAATAGCAGCGCAAAAATATGATTATACAAACACACAAACATATCAATTATATTAGGTAAAAAATTTTAAAACAAAAATTATACCCGCCCTCTTGAGGGCGGGTCAAAATCTAGTTCTTCTTTAAAACACCTACATGAATGGAATACGCCAATGCTTTATAGACTTTGATGTCTATATAATTACACGTATCACATGACTTACAAAAACTAATTCAACTAAGTAACTAGTATGACAACTATGCACAGTTAACTATTTGCTTATATTATTAGTTTAATATACTCATAGTTTATTTATTTATAGTTTGTTTACAAATGTCCAATAATGTAACATATTTTATATTTACGTTTAATAATTAAAAATAAATTGAAATTTAATTTTGAAGTATTTTTCTGATATAGTAAATTTTTTTAAGAAAAACGGTTAAATTTTTTTTTTTAAAGATTCCAAGAATATTTGTTATTATTTTTATAATAAATTTATATAAATAAAGTTCTCTCTGAATTTCTTTACAGACCTACATTGCAAAAACAAAAATTTCAATTAGAAGATTTATGATTATAGTAATAAAACCACTATATACTATCTTAGAAGATCAATATTTAAAATCATAATTAATTTTTTCTGTCATAATTTCAATAACATTTTTCTGAAATTACGTTCTTATCTGAAAGCCGATTTAGATAGCTCTTCCATTATAAAAACAAACTCCGCTCCTCTGTACTTGATTTATTCAAAGCTCCCATAGTTTTAAAATATTGAGTTCCTAACTCTATGTTCCCATTAACAATCTTACGCAAAAAAGATGTTTCAGTAACTTTTCGCATGGATCACATCCGACAAAAAATACACCAACTTGAAGAAGGGATTTTAGTGCTCCCTATAACAGTATGTATAGAGACTATTTGGGACATCACAATTCACCAACCATGCACAACCCAATCATGCCACCAGCTTCATATGCTATGACCACCACGTAAGCCAAATGTTACTATTTTTACCAAAACATATATATTGACCCACAGTCTAGATTATTTGTTTTGTCTGGCAAATAAACACTTAATTGATTTGATAGGATCAATTTATTCACATTCAGGGACAACTATTGGAGGGTCGCCTTTCCAACAACAATCAGATAACTGAGCCAAGTTTTTTAACCGAAGGAGATACATATGAATTCTCAGGATTCTCGGTTGTACCAAATTCCCGTGAACGGAAATTAACACCACTCCCGTATTACATTCAGATCGACCAAGAGACGACAATCTCGAACGTTACTTACATAGGTCCCATATTTCCTGTATACAGTTTCTTTACTCAGAGATACAGATCTTTACTGCGCTTAGCCACTATCCCTAGCTACTTACCGGGTAAGTCACTCATCAAGCTTTCATTAAAAAAATATAAAAATGTTTATTAAAAACAAAACTAATATTGTGCAGATGTCGTCAGAAAAATACGATTGATGCAAGAAACAAACCACACAACCCATAATTGAATAAAAAAGTCACAAGTGGTCTCATGCTAAACAGTTCAAAAATGGTTAGGCTCACACTATGGGGCAAACCATCAACCGAGTTTAGCATCATGCAAAGCAAGAAGGATAGAAAATTTAAAGTTGCCATCATCACAAGTGTAATACCTAAACTTTTTCAAGGTAAATAAGTTTTTATATAAAACATATGAATTAAAAAAATATTTATTTGTTTTAACCATGCAGCAAAAACTGTTAACAAATTTTTTACAGGAAAACTAGAACTCACTTCATCACCAGCAACAAGTTTCTACTTTCACAAATCAATCATACTCATCAAGAATTACAGAGGACGGATCAAAAGTCATCGAGAAGCATAAAAAAACTCCAACCATCACTCGGTTTTCTCTTCCCATTGGATTATTTTTACTTTCAAAACACTTATCATTGGATTGTATTTTTAAAAAGAACCCAATCCTTGGGTCATTATGATGTCTGGAAAATCTAGGATTGAGTGATTGGACTATCTTATTAAAATATCTGAAAAACAATTGTGGCAGTGACACATAAAATATCAACATTTCATTTTTTTATTGCCATTTCATCTTTGTAAATGAAATAATGGATCTCAAATACATTAAGCAAGTTTCACCCTACAATATGGGCAAGTCAAGCTTTTTTTGAATCCAGCCCAAGATGCAGTCATGATGATACGAATGTTTACAATTAAAAGAGTTCATCTCTCCTTATGTGCCAAACTTTTCCCAGCAAATTGGGCATATATCATCTTCTTCACTCCGGTTGGGTTTTCGTCGGTTTTCATGAAGCTCAATCATATATATGTCTACGTCAAATCTGTGGAATGCATCTGAGTTGTGATCAGATATCTTAACAATTATATCAAGATCTGTACCTGTGGGATCAGAAAGCGTTGGAAGAGTACCTGCGACAAAATCAGAAGTCTCCTAATCTCCATCAACGTATCAAAATCAAATTCATGGTATCCAAGCATGTACTCCATATCGTCTACCGTATCATGGATTAAGTGCCTGTTGCTTGATGTCTTTAGATTAACGGATATCAAAATTTCAGGTTGCTTGATGTCCTTAGATTAACGGATAAAATTTCAGGTTGCTGTGTCTTTGGCCTCTTTATCTTCATGGTAATTGTTCTTTTGGGAGATGATAAAGATGGTTGCTTTTGTGCCTATATCTATAGGTTAACGAATATGATTTAAAAAAAATTGCTATAAATGTCTATATTTATAACAATATTTAGACAAATACATAAACATGGTCAACAAAAATAACTAAAAGAATTAAAAAAAAAATTCAAACATTAAAAATACCACTGGAAAAAATTGCACAATCCCTTACGGTCAAACTTTCCATTTTGGATAAATTGATTGTCTGAGTCATCTTCTATACTTCTACACTCACAATCATAAAAATTATTTACATCATTTAAAATAAACTAGGATAAGACCTGCGCCTTGCGCAGGATGAATATACGTAACTAAAATATAAAATTTTAATATTAATAAATTTAAAATTTACATATAATTGTTTTTATATGTATTTAAAATTTTAGAATTTTGGAATTTTGAAATAATTATCTATACGTAGGATCATAAACAATTGTAATTAGAGCTGTAGATCAAATCTTAGAATTTAATGGACCCGATTTCATATATATTTTCACTTTTCAGTGTTCGGGTGATGGAAAATAAACAGAGTGTCATTGGGCTTGATTGGTAGAGTATTAGCAAATTTCATAATGTTTATTTAAGAAGCCATTGGTAAAATAACTGCCTTTAAAATATATAAAGTTTCAAAACAAATTTAATATAATTTATTTATTTGTATAATAATATTAGAAAACTATATTTTTACAAATTATTATTTTAAAAATAATTTTGTAAAAAATTAAGTTAAATTTTAAATTATTTTTAAAAACAATATTTTAAGTTTTTCAAATACAAATAAAGAATTTAAAATTAATTAAGGTCATGATCTAACATAACCATAATGATTTAAAACATAAAAAATTAACAAATTAAAAATTAACTCAGTTTTATATCATGATTTAACAATTTAAAAATTAATTATGGTTATGAGAAGTTTAAGTTCACGTGTTAATACTATTTATCTTCAATTTTTTCTCTTGTTGTGTTTTTTTTATATTTTGGTTATTACTCGATATATATATTGATTTTGAAGTTTATTCTCATTTCGTTTATTTGTTTTGGCCTAAGATTTATAAAATACTTAAGATTTAAAATAATTAAAAAGATACATACATAGGTTAAGATCTGCACTTTATGCACAATAAGTATTTTATATTTATAACTTATTTTATAATATTCTGCATATCATAAAATAATAAATATATATATTACATAACTAAGAAATCAGTCACTATTATGTAATAAATTAACGTATGCATATAAATTTTACTATCACTCTTGTTTATTCGCAATTAGCGTAAATAAATCAAAATAATCAATCTTATATATTGTATATGATATATAATTAAATTTAAATTGTATAAACATAGTAATATGGAACACTTTTAATATTGATATTTATTAAATGAAGTTTCTACTCATATGATTTTAAGATTATTTGCATATTTGTGTATCAAAACTTTACACCAACGAATTTTTTTTAATGTGAGATGTTTAGTAGTTTCAATAATTTATAATCATTTATAAAAAAAATGACATATTTCAAAATTAAAATATTAACTTTTCAATATATGTTGAAGACAAATATCAAAATATAAGTATGTATTTTCATACGATTTATAGTTTCATTAAAACGATATGAAATATATATATATATATATATATATATATATATATATATATAAATTAAAATTATTTCTTCATATGGTCTCATAATCATTATATTTTAATATAGTAAAAAAATTAAAACCTTGATCCTAAAAGTTTATGTGAGACTTTTAACAGTTTTAGTAATTTATATTCATTTTGAAAAATTCGAAATACAACATACACAAAAAAATCTAGATTTTATTATATGATTAATGTAATGTGTAATTTATTTTAATAATAAATAAATAAAAAAAATGAGAAAAAGTATACAGATGTTTATCAAATCTTTATTGCTTAGAATCATTAATTGTCATATATATTTTAATCACATTAGGTAATTCCGTAGGTTTTATTTAAGGAAAGCATACGAAACAATAAATATTTGATATATGCGACCAACTATAGTCTACGAAATGTTATATTGCTAGAGAATATAATTTTTAGACTATCATTATATCACATGTTATAGAATCCTTGGGATTTGAAATAGAAGCCAAAGAGCTATGCCACATAGGATTGAGATTATTTTTAATTCTTACAAACTTAAGGTTACAACTTTTTAAATGATTCTCAAATAATATATAGAAGATATGTATAAAGGAATTTTCCCCCGGGTTTAATCATCACTTGAGATGAATTTTAAAAACTTCAGGTGTTTAACAAAATAAACAAACGCCAACCTTGGCAACAAATATCTAAACATAACAAATAAATTATATTTTACAACGATTTCAAATTTAAATACTATTCAGCATCAAAAAAATTTCTTAAAAACAGTCCCAACGAAAATTACCAACGCTAAGCCAAAAAGAAAAATTTCCACACAGTTTTTCATTTCCAAATTATTAAATATCCAAATTTTCCGCGCGTAGCGCGGACAGCGGATCTAGTAAATATAAAAACAATTTAAAATAAGGAATTTTAAAAAATGTGAAATGAATTATTTTATGTCAATGATCAGAACTTATTTTATAATTTTATATCATTATATAATATTTTATACAAAGCATATAGTAATACAACTCATTGATGTGGGAACCGAAATTTACACTGTCGATTTTCCGTCAAATATGGAAACTTAGGGAAAACCCTAATTCTCCCGAGGTCCTGGATCTCTGCGGAGACCACTAAAACGAAAAAAGATTAACAGAATATGGATGGATAGAAATAACGACGAACAGAGTATAGATAAAGAATTTGCGTAAGAGCTTTTATTGATAAAGAGAATTGACTGCTGTTACAAAGAGAATCGCGGAACTTTGACGTCAAAACGTTCTAAGGATCCGGCTTGCTAGTCTAAACACCTAAGTCCTAAATTCGCCTAAGCTAACAGCCGTCTTTCTAGGTCTAGAATTCGTCCCCCTCTTCTATCCTATGCCTTCTGCTTATATACTCCTCCTTGGGCGGTTTAATCCTTCCTTTTCATCCAGATTAGAGTTTATCGAGAATCTTCCATTTATCTCGATCTTTCTTTTTTCCCATGGAAATATTCTATTTATCCTCAAACTTGATATTTATCTTCTTTTTGCGAGTAAATCATCAAACCGTCATTGTATCTTTGGATTGGATTTCGTTTCAAGTCGCGAGTAGGCTTTTATCGCGTTTTAGGACTTTCCGAGCTGTTTTGCGATAAAACCGTTTTACGACTTTAGACGAGATCGTTTCCTGATACGATGCCGTTTTTAAGTAAGTTTCTCGAGTTTAATCGTATACTTTGGCAATGTTCGATGTTTCGGTTAATCGTTGTCGTTTTCTACGATTTACTCGAGGTTTTACTAAAAACGCGTTTTTATGATTTTTTACGAAAAATCTCGAGTTCATCGTATAGTTATGCAATGTTCGATGTTTCTTTTAACCGTTGCCGTTTTATATGATTCCCTCAAGTTCTTTCGAGAAAACAAGACTTTACGGTTTTTATCGTAAAACTTGAACAATAGGACGGATCGAGACGAAACGAGAGACGTTTCGACCGTGGTTCGGAACACGATGAAACCGAAGGACGTATGCTTCGTGTTGGGAATTCAGAGAGCAGGGTTCGGACTGATCAGCTCGGCATACGGCGAGCTGAACCGGTTAGTTCAGTTTGGCGTACGACAAACTGGTTCGGTCGAACCTGTTTGCGTTTTACGGCGGATGCAGTTTTTTCGGTTTTTTGCTTAACTCGTGAAATCGTGTAATCGGAAATTATTTCGTTCGTTTTCTTCGAGATAAAAATTTCTAAGTTTTGCGCAGATTTCCGTTGTTCTGAAAGTCTTTAGAATTTTATAAAACAACTTCTATTGTTTTATAAAACATATTTTTGCGGAAAGTTTTGATTATTGATTTTAACAATAATCGTAGCCGTTGATTTCGAGATTACCGTTTTTGACACCAACAGTTAGCCCTCCAGCTCACAAGTTTTGAAGAAGGTTTTTGCGAGCGAATGGAGTTATTTAATTGGAATCTACGGCTGCGATTTATTGTATCGCGGAAGATGAGCTCTTCTTTTCATATAAGTATTGGATCTTCACTTCTTGCTTTCTTCACACATCTTTCAACCTCTCAAACCCCCTCCAACTTCTCTCTAGAAAACTTGTTTTTCCAAGAGGTCTTCTTCCCAAGCTGATCACCAAAGCCATGATGTCCCATCCGATATCAATCCCACTCCCGATCTGCAAGATGCTCGTATCTCTGAGTTCCTCTCGTTTCAGGAAGAGATGGACCGCTGCGATGCTGAGGAGGTTACGGAACTATCTTGTGCGGCCCCGGCGGATCTGCCTATTCCTGCAGAAGAGGCCGATGCTATTCCGGACGATGTGGCGAGTGCCACAGCAAAACCTTCGGCGAGCGTTACCATCGAGCCATCGTGTTCATCCGTTGTTCCACCCGTTGCTGAGGTAGAGACTGTAGCGACTACGACTTTGAAGCCTAAAGACGGTTACGGCTCCTACTGAGGTCGAGCCGGTTACGACTTTGAAGCCTCTTCCTCTGGCCAAGAGGGTGATCGTTCTAGGACTCCCGGCGCTTAGTGCAACGCTAGCTGCTTCAGCCAAAGGTCGTAAGAGACCTTGCGCGAACCCAGATGTTCCCAAGAGAAAGAGATGCGCGAAGGGTCCGGAGGCTGGTGC